TTATCACATGTCACCCAAAAAAACCAAATTATCCAGTTAAGAAATGGGCAGAAGACATGAATAGATAGTTTTCCAAAGAAGATATCCAGACGGCCAAGAGACACATGAAAAGATTCTCAACATCACTCATCATTAGGTAAATACAAATCAAAACCACAGTGAGATACCACCTCACACAGGTCAGAATCGCTAAAATCAGCACCACGGGAAACAGCAGATGTTGGCAAGGATGCAGAGAAAGGGGAACCTTCTTATACTGATGGTGGGAATACAAACTGGTGCAGCCACTCTGGAAAACATCATGGAGGTTCCTCAAAAAGTTAAAAATAGAATTACCCTATGATCCAGCAATTGCACTACTAGGTATTTACCCAATAGATACAAAAATACTGATTCCAAGGGACACATGCACTGTGATGTTTATAGAAGCATCATCAATAACAGCTAAATTATGGAAAGAGCCCAAATGTTGATCGATTGATGAATGGATAAAGAAGATGTGGTCTATATACACAATAGAATATTACTCAGACATCAAAAAGAATGAAATCTTGCCATTTGCAACAACGTGGATAGCGCCAGAGTGGATTATGCTAAGTGAAACAAGTCAGTCAGAGAAAGACAAATATCATATAATTTCACTCATGTGTAGAATTTAAGAAACAAAACAGACAAAAAAAAAGAGAGGCAAACCAGGAAACAGACTGTTAACAATAGAGAACAAACTGACGGTTGCTGGAGGGGTGGTGGCTGGGGAGATGGGTTAGATGGGTGATGGGAATTAAGGAGGGCACTTGTTGGGTTGAGCACTGGGTGTTATATGTAAGTGATGAATCATTAAATTCTATTCCTGAAACCAATATTACACAATATGTTAACTAACTAGATTTTAAATAAAAATTTGAAACAAAAACAAGCAAAAAGAGCTTATCACATGTCAAGTTCACAATACGCCTTAAATTCTATCATAAGGTATGTTCTATTATTACACCCATTTTACAGATGAAACTGAACCATAGAGAGGTTAAGAAACTTCCTTAAGGCTACTTAGCTAGTAGGTGGCAGAGTTGGGATCTAAACCATGGTCATTTAGCTCTAGGATCAACAGTCAATCACCACACGATAGAACTTCTGCAAATACCAGCTACTCTGAGTGCAAGGACAACATAAGATGACGAGCGTCAAAGTCACTTCGGACCTCTGAGGATGCATATGTACTCTAAAATAATGACTACAAATCACAGATTCTGAAGTGATTTTCAGAATTATAGGAAAAATAAACAATAGGTAAAGAAGTAAGATTAGTTTTTAAAAATGTTTTTCAGTATGTGTATACAGAAAGTCAGGTATATAGGGCTGGGGACAACTGCAAAAGTATGCTTTAGGGAGCCCATTCTGGAGCTGGGCCTTGGTTCCATCATTTAGTCTCATTAATAGCTTAACATCAGAAAAATTACTTCAGTCCTCTAGGTATGATACTTTCTCTAATTTTCTGCATAGGGTTGAGAATGAACGAGAACACAGAAAAGAAAGCAATCACCAACTAAAAGCATTATGCTAAACACAGCCCTGCTCTAACTGGTTGAGTGGAGATGATGGTTTACAAGTGTCTCCACCACACGCACGTCCTCACAGGCAGGGAGCTGATGTTATGGCTCTCCGCCCCTTTCCTCTCTGTGCCCCCAGCTACTCTGTGCAAAGAGCCTGTGCTCTTCTTCTCACCTCCACCTAACAGGGCTTCAATCATTCTTTTCTTCTATCATTTCAACTAATTCCCAAGGCGAAGAACTCACAATTCTTTATGCCATGAATTGTAGTTCTGAAATTGATCAAGTTGTGATTTTGTATAAAATTATGCCAAAAGTCGGGCGCCTGGGTGGCTCAGTTGGTTAAGCAACTGCCTTCAGCTCAGGTCATGATCCTGGAATCCCGGGATCGAGTCCCACATCGGGCTCCCTGCTCAGCGAGGAGCCTGCTTCTCCCTCTGACCCTCCCCCCTCTCATGTACTCTCTCTCATTCTCGCTCTCTCAAATAAATCAATAAATCTTTAAAAAAAAAAAATTATGCCAAAAGTCATAATGGTGGAAGACAGAAGGATGACTCACTAAAAGCAGATTTTTACTGGTTTATTGTTGATAAATAATATCGACAATATTGTGCAACCTACTGGTTGTTATTTTAATTCTCCAAATCAATTTCCAATTATTGGCAATTGCTACATACGAATCAAGTTTGGATATTCTAAATTAGATGTCACATCTATATCTACACCAGACAAGCACTTTACATTTGGAATGACAAGGTACATAGACAATCTCTATGTTTCATATAGATAAACCAGTCGTTCATGAGTATTTTAGTTTACACAGGAAATGTTATTCTGGAGGTAACTGAGCTCAGCCTTTCTGTATGAAAATTTAGGTCTCCATCTATGGTTACTATAGAGGCAGTCCACATGCCTCCTCTCTTCTTATGAGTTGTAGTTCAAAGCCTAGGTAGCAAAGAGTCCCTAGTGCAGCATGAAGTATTATCTCCGAGAGCAGGTATCAGGGAACTGGACGTCAGCATCCCCCAACATCAGAAGCACCTCCTCAGAGAAAGTTGAAGGTATGTGGGTGCCAGGGAAGGATGGCCATATTATTAGATATACAGTCTGCAAATCTCTCCCACTTTAAAAAGAATTTTTAACTAATTTAAAAGGCAGACTTATGAAAGGTACAGCATAGGGACTATAGTCAATGATACTATAATAGTGTCGTATAGTGACAGATGGGAGCTACACTTGTGGTGAGCAGAGCATGATATATAGGGAGGTTGAATCACTATGTTGTATGCCTGAAACTAATGTGTGTCAATGATACTTCAATTAAAAAAGGGGCAGATTTATGTATTGTAATGTATACCATGAAATTGTATCTCCCCGATCATATTAATCATGATATAAAACAGAGTAGGCACCTTCAGTCCTGCAGGCTGGGCAAATTAGTATAGGTCTAGGTAATGAAGCAGACCTGTCAAGGTGGGTCCTTTCTGAGGAGTGGGTGCCCCTCTCTGATGATTTTTTTTACCATTTGCTGTGTTCTGGTAGTGGCTAAGTGAACATTCCGGGTCATGGTTTATTTGTTCTATTTTTCCAGATCTATTTAAATTAATCATTAACTTAAAAAATCATATTGGTTATATGTTTATTAGATAAAAATTAGCTTAAATTGTATCTAAACTTTAGTTTCAAGTGCATTTTCTGACCATATACCACAATCTTAGATTATCAAAGCAACCTTACATGAATAACAGAGTACCAGTTAGACATGAGGGAATGAATACACATACACCCACATATAAACAATGTCATCAACCAAGATGGTTAAGTGATCTGTCCAGTGTAGTCAAGTATAAAAAACATGGAAATATGAAGGAGCCACCACCTCCTTTTGAGGAAATATCAAAGACTTTATGATTGGGAGATTTTCCCCTTATATTAGATACATGTTCCTTTATGTAATTTTATCTATTATTTTAGTTACCATTTTAGGTTCTCTCTCAAAAATCCAGCTTCCCCTTGCTACTCTTTAATTACTTCTAGATTATTATCAACACTGCCTCCTTTTCCTTCCCTCTCCACTCCATTGCCTCAACCTTTTAGTCATTAGTTGGCTCTTAAATATGGACTTGATATATTTAATCCTTTGCTAGAAGACGGTTCTTTCAATTTCGGTTTTTAAATTCCTCCAATCATCTCCTATTTTTCTAAATTTCATCTTTCTTTTGGCTCATCACTAAAAGTAGTCTCACCTATCGTGCAGAAAAAAATAAAACAAGAGATTCTTGATTTCATTCTGCCTTTTCAATTGTAATAGTCTAAAAACAGTTATGCAGGATATATTGTTTTCATCAGCAGTATTGAAATCATGTTCTCATAGAAGACAGATTTTAAATACTAAACAAAAGTGAGAGTAATAGTTATCGTTACAAAAAGCTTATGGAGACATATATAAAAAGCTGATACATGCTTGCTGTCACAATGAGAATCCATACAATTAACTGCTGAAAATAAAGAATGGAAAGAAAGCATTCCCTTTAACTAAAAAACAGGAAAAAAACCAGATGATCTAATGTAGAAGAAATCACAGTAAAATCCACTCTCAGGAGAAAACATACTCTGCTGCACTTATGTATGTGTGTATGTATATATATGTATGATGTTATACGTATATACTCTGCTTTAGTATAGTAAAGCAGAAGTGAATATAAAGAAACCAAACAGTAAATTCTGCTGTTCCTCAGTCTTAAATCCAACCTCACTTTCTGAAAATCAAACCAATGCCTCATAAACAGTGAAAGACTTGGAGAAAGTTCTATTAACACGAATGAAGATTTTTTAGAAAGGGCCACAAGATGAGCACTTAATTAAAACACACACACACACACACACACATACTTTCTTTAGGCTGTTGAAATATAAAGTCTTTAATTCTCCACTTAAAAAAAAACAAACCCTGATTATAAGCTTTAAAACCATTTGAAGATGTGAAAGACTATCTGCATTTCAGCCTACTTCAAAGCCAGTAAAGAAATCATTTCTTCTTCTTCCAACTCAGTATGTTTAGGAGCAGGACATCTGATAGAAGTGGTATTGCCAATCTAACCAATTTTAAAATATAAAGTGCTTCTAGCAATATTTGGAGACATATAATTTGACAAAAAGGTTTTATAAACCTAAGCTTTGAAAAATAGAAAATATAAGCCCCAGCAAAAAAAAAAAAAAAGCATCATTTGTAATTGAAAGAAAATAATATTTTGTAGAAAAAAAAGTCCTTCCAAAAAGAGACAAAAATGACTAACTTTTATTTCCCAAGGGAATTATGCCACTTTTATACAACAAAATTATAGTCACCACAAATTGCTTTCAACAATTCCACTGCTTCTTCATTTGACCACTTGAAAATCAAAATTCTTTCAGATTATAAATATAACTTTTTATAACTCTGTTATTACGTACTGTGAATGGGGAAAGGGGGCCAATCTTGTGGCCGTAGCGTCGAACGGCCTCTCTGATGTGGCAGGGCTGGATGGCATCGCTGTGAGCCTCAACACCACAGGCCGCAGTGCTCTGTGACAGAAAAACACATAAATTGTTACTAAATCAAAAACACACAACAGAACTACAGTGTATAAAATATGAAAATAAACTTTTATAAAATGGATGTTCCCCCCCTTTAGGATGCACGTCCCTGCTGCCCTACATGACATTTAAAAAAAGACTCCGTTAACAAATCAAAGATGACTTTTCCGTGACCCCTTTCTAGCAGACCTACCAAATGCAATTTTTATGCCCACAATATTTCACCTAGGCCTGCACGTCAAGGTACAGGAGAATAGAACCACTCGTGTGCAGATGAGAAGTGTCGTGGGGGATTGCAGACAGAACCACAGGAAGCTATGTTTTTAAAAAAACACTTAAACATTTATTATTATAAATGTTTCTTGGGAGCTTGTTGAGCATATTTCTGAAATAACTGGAGGGTCATCAATTTTAAAATGAAAAATATAAAATTGCTACATATTTATTTATAATACCGGAGCTGTCATAGACAATCATTTTAACGTGGTTCCCAATTTTCTAGGTGTCCTCAGGGCAAAAAGAAAATAAAACAAAACCTTTCTCTTTTAATCTGCCTCATGTGTAAAAGGCAGGTTTGAAAGTACAAAAAGACACAAGGAAGAGAAAGCCTATTTGTAAAGAGAGTATGGATACCAGCTTAAGAAAGGTGTGTAACATGATTTAAAAAAAAAAAATTAAAACGTTCAATAGGAACAAGATAGTCTCGTGGCTCACTTGCAGGCTCTGGTTTCCCAAATACCTGATCTAGATCCTATCACTTACCAGTTCTGTCAAGTTATGTAATATCTCTGCACTTCAGTTTCCTTATCTGTAAAATTGGGGTAATAATTATAATTGCTTTCTACTGCAGTGGATACCAGATGCCAGTCATTAACATTAAAGAATCAAATGAAAGAAACAGTAGTTTGTGTATTACTATAACTGTATTCTAGAAGTCAGTCATAGTCACATAATGATTATTTGTTTTTCTGATAATTACTACAATTACCACTTTCATAATTCCTTGTAGAAGTATAACTAGTATGACCTCTATGAATAGTAATCTGGCAAAATCTTATCAAATGAAAATGCACAACCATTTTGACCCAATTTCATATCTAAGAATTTATCAAAGAACACCAGATTGGTGTATGAATGTAGCCAAGAGGAAGAGGACCTGACATCTGAGGAAGAACTTTACAAGGCAGCCTGTACTTTACTCAAGGAAAGAGAGAGTCTATTTCGGCAGAGATTTCAGCACTCTTTAGACAACAGGACTCAGTATTCTGTCAAATATGTAGGTTTCATTTTTGAAAATTTAAAAATAAAGAATATCCTAAAGTACAGGCACACTCAGAATGGGAAAGATGGTAAATAAAACCGTGGTCCGGGGAAGCTATACTGAAACTTCTGTCACTGCTGAATCTCTTACAAATGTTCGTACCTGTCTGGACTTTTTAAAAAAAATTGTTGGCAAGTTAAATCGTCCTATCCTTTCTCAGCCTTTCTCTTGCCAGTGAAATCCAAATTTAAGGAGGACCTGGAATATTGGATAATTGCCACTTATTCTTTCCACATAATGGTGGACTAGATCTTTTGTTAAACTCGAAACATTCGTTCTTAAAGAGTAACACATATCTCAGATTAGAGCAAAAGAAAGGCTGGTACTACTATTACTAATACTTCTATCACTCACTGACCACAAAGGTGGATATATAATCTGACTGGCAAGGCAAGTGTCTTCCTTCTACTCACTGCTGTACACATCGCTTTTCCAGAGTTTCCTTTTTTATGGAGAATGTCTTTTCAGATGAAGGTGGGCCATTCTTTGGCCAAAGGTTACAGTACACAGTATAGTTAATTTTAGCAGTTAATTTTCTCATTTCAAAGTTTAATTGAGATGTTAATTGTTACAACTGTAGTTCTATGTAACTGGAAAACTCTGTAACTCTTTTCTTTAAGGAAATTAAAACTAGAAGAAGTCCTTTAGGTGAAGACAAGAGAATCACTAAATTTAAGGATTCATACATTATTAAATCTGGAAGGAATGCAAGATTTCTAAACTGTTCCAACCCCACACCATGAGAAAATGAAGACAAAGTACTTGCCCAAGATTACAGTGACAATATCGGAATATGGCTATACATTAGATCTCTTGGCTTCTAGGACACATAGTTGATATACAGAGGCTTTATTATTTTATGTAGAATGAATTGTACCGTATTACCACCACAGTGGAAGTATGGGAGTAAATAAACACACAGCAAGAGTCTGTAGAAAGATGTGGATGAATAAATAAAGAAATAATAGCTTTAAAGTGGTATGTTATTCTGATGTCACTGATTTTGAATTTACAAAAATTCAGATATGAACTAAGCTAATACTTACTCAGGAAATCTTTGCTATAAAACAACTTTAATGTAATAGTGTTCAACAAGATTAGGAGAGAAATGTTTAAATATTTAAGAGAAAAAATAATTCTTTATATGTCTTTGAGAATTCTTCAAATTTTTATGTATGTATGCATAATCGTATCAGGTTAATTACAACTTCTTACATACTTAGTAAGCAAGTCCACTGAAGAGGTCTTTTAGGTAACACTTTGTTACCCTAGTTTTACTTACTGAGTGAGCTGGAGCACTATAGCTAAAAATCTTTAAAACTACTTTACAGTACAGAAGTTCCTTCTAGTTCAAATTTCCCCTTAATAAATAAACACAGAGCTCTGTTGTTTTGTAAATGGAAGAGGAAACCAGATATGAGGCTAAAACTTAAATTTGCTTACTATCATTATAAAATTATATCTTGGCATGGCTCCGCTGCTTGTAATGGCAAATGGTTCTTATTGTAGCAGCTGAGTTTTAGATAATAATATCACTTTAGACAAATTATTAAAAAACAAGAACATGAAAGTGATAGAGATTGATCAAAACCATGCAGAAACTGGAAAGGGGAATGCCTATATTTAGAAGAGAATGGCAGTGGCTGAGTTTCCTGTTTTTACTCTTTTAGCTGAAGGGCAGGTCCCAGTCAGGATAGGGGGCACATGAGCTTAGAGACTCTAAGAAATACAGGCCAGAGAAATATAGGACACCCACAGTAGGTATAAAGTGAGGAAGGAAATACCAAGAAAGGGCAAAATCAAAGAAGGAGAGCCCCAATTCACCATACAAACTTTACCCAAATCTATTTCTCTGTGGTACTGAATCCAAGAAACCCAGTTAAAGCTAAATGAACTGAAGAGAGATTCTAAGCTGCTGTCAATGAAGAGGAGTTTGGGTTTGACGTTTAGAATTGAGTGTAGAATAGTAAACTGTCTGCTTAACACACATGCCCACATCCCAACCACTATTAACACCAACAATTCTTCATAGGAATATAACAGAACACAAAATCTCTACCATATATTACCCATGATGTCCAAGATATAATTCAAAATTACTAGACATGCAACAATATAAAAAATTGACTGGGAAGAACTGACTGAGAGAGGAGGCATTATTTTGGTCTCCACTGAGTCTAACAAAGTCTCAAAGAAAGCATGATTTATACTCAATGGAGACTAAAATAATCCAGATATTAATTGATCAAAGAAGGATTTTAAAGTAGCTATTATAACTATGCTCAAGAAGATTAAAAAAAAAACCTGTAATAAATGACAAATAAAAAAACCAGATAAACAAAAACTAAAAAGAAATCAAATGGAAATTATAAAACTATAAAATAAAATATAACAAAGAAAAAATTATTGGATGGGTGTAGCAGATTGGAACTGACAGAGGAGTCTGGAACATGAAGAAATATCAATAGAACTTATGCATCCCGAAGAACAGAGGGAAAAGATTGAAAGAGAAATTAAATAAGTACCTGTGGAACAACATCAAAGTAACTAACAAATATGCCTTGGAGTCTTTGAAGTGGAGGAGAGACAGTGAATGAAGCAGAAAAAATATCTGAGGAAGTAACTGCTGAAAATTTCCCCCAAAAGACATAAAACTAATATTTAAGAACCTCAATGAACCCTAAGCAGGACAAATACAAAGAAAACCATGTCTGTAGACAGCATGGTCAAACTGCTGAAAACCAAAAATAAAGATACAATCCTGAAAACATCCAGAGAAAAATAACACATTACAAACACAGAAACAATAATACAAACTCCTGACATATGATTAAAACAATGGATGCCAGAAAACAGGGGAATATCATCAAAGTATTGAAATAAAACTACCAACTCAGAATTCTACATCCAGTGAACGTATCTTGTAAAAATGAAAGGATATTTTCAGAAATATGAAAATTAGGAGAAACCATCACCAGCCAACCTGCACTGTAACAAATGCTAAAACAAAATTTAGTAGAGCAAAATAGGAAAGTAATACCAGAAGGAAGTCTGAGCATAAAAAAGAGAGAGACACAGAAAGAGAAAGAGAGAGAGAGAGAGAGAGAGAGAAATGAGCAACAGTAGGGATGGTAAATGTTAGTTTATTTTTTCTCTTAGTTTCATTGAGATACATTTGATTGTTTAAGGCATAAGTAGTAGTATGGTTTATAACATGTGGAGATATAATATGTATAACAACTATAGCATAAAGGAAGGATAAGAGTAAAGTACACCAGTCTTATAAGAGTCTCACATTTTATGTAAGTAGTGCAATAACTCCAAGTATGCTGAAAATTTAAGGATATATTGTAACCCTTAGCATAACCACTAAAAAATTATGCAAAGAGGTATCACTAAGAAATGAGTAGATGAATTAAAATGAATTTCTTAAAGAGTATACAACCCAAAATAAGACAAGAAAGAAAAACTGAGAATAAAAAATAGAACAAGCAGAAAACAAATAGCAAAATAGTTGAACTATATCTAACCATGTCAATAAATACACTAAATTTCAAGGAAATGCAGACTCAAAGTATAATGAGTCACTGTTGAATATCCATTAGAATGGTTAAAAATAAGAACAATAACAGTAAGAGTTGATGAACATGTGAAGCAACTGGAACTCTCACATATTGCAGGTGGAAGTATAAAATGATACAAACATTTTTTTGGGGGAAAAAAGTCTTGGAGTGTCTTTAAAAACTAAACACATATATATTCTGTGACTCAGTAATTTCATTCCTAGCTATTTACCTAAGAGAAATGAAGGCGTTTGCCCACGAAGACTTGTATAATAATGCTCACAACAGGTTTACTCATAATACCTCAAAAACTGGAAACAGCCTAGGTGTCCACAAAATGAGAATAAATACATTGATATATTCATACAACACATTATTCAGCAATAAAGAGGAATAAATTACACTTATACTGAAAAACAAATTTCAAAAACATCCTGAGTGAAAGAAATTTCACTCAAAAGAGCATACGTACTACATTTTCTTTATATGATTTCCAGGACAGAAAAAAACTAATCTATGATGAAAAAATCAGGACAATGATTGCCTCTCTGTGGTGGCAGGAAATGACTGGGAAGAGGCATGCAGGAACTTTCTGAACTGATGATAATGTTTTATATCTTGAGAAGGGTTTAGAAAACATCAAGTTTATACCTGTGTCAATACACGTCAAATGGGATATTTAACAACTGAATGGCTTACTGTGTATAAATTTTAGCTTAAAAAAAAAGAACCATAAACAAATTATACATAATGAAGTATTAACCCAAGAAGTGTACTAATATCTGTAGCTTACTTTGCAATGCAGCAAAAAAAAAAAAGATGGACTGACAGATGGACAAAAGAATAATTAGATGCATCGATATAATAAATGTAAATATATAAATATGTAGATAATACAGCAAACATAGTACAATGTTCACTGTAGAATCTAGATGGCAGATACATGGTGTTAAGTCTATAATTCTCTTAATATTTTTGTATGTTTGAAAATTTTTATAATAAAATGTTAGAAAAAAATCAGTATCTTGCTTTACCCAGAAGAAAGCTATTAAAAAAGTTTGAGTAGAAGTCATTAAGTATGGTTAAGCATAAAATGGCTGTTTCTAAAAATCTGAATTATGAGAAAAACAGCATGTTTTCCATATTTCTGAAGCAAACTCAACAACTTTATCCACTCTGCACCGGAAAAAAGAAAAAAAAAAAAAACAAAAAACTTATCACTGACCTTTTTTCTTTTCCTTTGCTTGGTTTTAGCTGAGTCTTGTCCAGCACTCCCATTCCCTAGGGATCCTGATGTGGTTTTCCCTGAGTGCTGTGATCCAGATGATGGAGCAGTCGGTGTAGGAGGAGGTGTGTTCTCAGGGGACTCTGGGTAGGACTTCATGCAAGACCCCTGCCCAAAGAGATGTGCCTTTGAAATCGAGTGACCAGGACTTCTACTAACATTCAGTTGTGTTTAATATCTCCTGAATTCAATACTTCTTGAAGCTTACAAATATCAAAACATGATTTATTATCCAGTTCACAGAAATGATGCCTCATTTGTCCCTATTGGTCTAAATATGTTAATTTTTAATCTGTTTAGTCATTTAGATAAAATCAGGATTTCTCAAGATGCAGCCTCCAAAATTTCTGCTGATTTTGCCAGATACAGAGATTTCTACTTGCAAGTTTTGTTAGCATGTCAGACTTACACGTCTCAAAAGGCACCTCTGAATCCCCACCCCCCAAACTGGATGGTACAGACAGTATTTCTTATCAGCATGGCCAGCCTTCTACCAGTGACTCCAACTCAGTGTCTGAGGGTCGCTGTGGATATTTCCAGCTCCTTTTATTTCTAGTTCCTTTCTTCTTTCATAATATCCCTCATTTCTACCTGGGTTCTTCGGCTACGGCTACAAATCTGCTTTCTTCCATGTGGATGCACTTCAAATATTTGAGGACTACTACCTTTCTCAGCCTCTTTTCTTTTATAGGTCAAACTGCCTCAAATTCCTTCAACCATTTATTATGAGACATGTTTTCAGGTTCCTTCACCCTCTCATTACTCTCCTTTAGACATTATCTACTGTGTCACTGTCCATCCTCTAGGATGGTGCCTAAACACTAAACAAGACAAAAAAAGTTTTCTTATCAGTAACATCACGATATTGGCTCCTAAGGAATTTACAGTCCAATAAAAGTCTGTAAGTCTTTTTCATATATGGTATTATTAATCTACATCTTCCTTATCCTACCAACTATACTAAACCATACTACCTGCTGGCCTACACTTCTCTATAATGCTATGTATTTGTATTTAAAAAACTATGCTAAATTTTGTAAAATGTTTGGCTGAAATGCACATATTGGTTTCAAAAGTATATCTGTCTATTGTTCTGTTGAGAACTATATTATTTATTTAAAGTTAAAAATGAGCAAGTTTAAGGGAAGCTAGTAAAGAATATACTGGAACTCTGTATTATCTTTGCAATGGTTCTGTAAATCTAAAAATTATTTTAAAATAAAAAGATTTTTAAAGAAAAAAAAAGTATTTCTTTGATTTGCCTGCCTAGGAACCTTATCAAACAAGAAGGAATAAACCTAATTTGGCATGAGTTATTTTTAGAAAAAACAAGATAACTCCTAGAGATCACTGCTTCCTGTGCATAAACCATATATTAGAAAAAAAAAATTTTTTTTTTAAAGATTTTATTTATTTATTTGACAGAGAGAGAGATAGCCAGAGAGGGAACACAAGCAGGGGGAGTGGGAGAGGGAGAAGCAGGCTTCCCGCTGAGCAGGGAACCCGATGAGGGGCTCGATCCCAGGACCCCGGGATCATGACCTGAGCCGAAGGCAGACGCTTAACCAACTGAGCCACCCAGGCGCCCCTAGAAAAGAATTTTTAAAAATTAAGTTCAATCGGGGTGCCTCGGTGGCATAGCCGGTTAAGCATCCAACTCTTGGTTTTGGCTCAGATAGTTATCTCAGGGTCCTGGGATTGAGCCCCGCGTTGGGCTCCATGCCTAGTGTGGAGTCTGCTTGGGATTCTCTCTTTCCCTTTCCCTCTGCCCCCCGCCCCCCTCCACCATGCGCTCTCACTCTCTCTCTCAAATAAATAAATAAATCTTTAACAAAAATTAACTTCAATTAATATTACACCTGTCAATCTGAGAACCCAAGCTTAACTAGCTTGGTTCCTCATATGTTTAATACTCAAAAATGATAGTCATTAAAAGAGAATGTATTGTGTATTAACATCATGCCTTGAGAGCTTCTGATTCCAATCCATTGTACATAGCACCTCCCTTTGGATGTTCTAAAACACCCATTTGAACTCATCACCCTTTAGCAGCCATGAAACCTTCAACTCTTCCTTAACTCTAAGAGCCTAAGGCTCAATTTTCTAATCTGACTTCTTCCTTCTGCTCCTCAATGAATCCTTTGCTCGAATATTTTAATCAGAGTTTTGTTTCTCCCTCGTACAGTTATGCCTATGCTGCCTCTGAGACCTAGAGCATTCTCCCCACTTTTACCATCTCATCAAAGTCTCTATTTTCCCTCAACGCCAGCATCCTCTCTCAAGTGCTTTGCAGTCGGGGCTTGTTTTTACCTCTGCACTTCTGGTCTATGCCACTCATTTGGAAATTAGCATCTATGCTATCTTGAATTGTCTTTTTTGTTTGTTCTCTATTTCCTTGTTTGTTTTACAGAATGTCTTATCTCCCTGAATACAGATCATACCAGTCTTCGGAGTCCCCCTTTTGTACCCAATTTGGTAAAGCCCTCAAAGCAGGCCCTTGACGTTGGTTGCTGGTTTGTTAAGGTTGATGAGTAAGATTCCTACTTTAGAGTGGCCATTCTCTGTGTTTCGTCAGGTAATAAAGGGCAGGAAGATTTCCAGTCCCTCTGAATGTTCATTTTGACCACTAGTCGCAGGAGGAGGGGTGTCTGGAAGGCCAGGGAAACGCTTGAGGCTTTGCTAGCATATTTAGGCGGGATGCTTTCCGACACTCCTGCTCCCACCTCCCAGAGAGCCCGGAAAACCCAGCACACACAGGCCATTTTTCTTAACTGCTGGGTAGCTGGGAGCAGCAGTTGTGGTTACTGAGCAGTTGCCCAGGGCAGCTTGGCCACCCTGGAGAACCAAGAAAGAAGGGAAATAAAGACTTTTCCTAGCCATGCAAGCAATCCCTTGAATGTTAAGGGAAAACTAGGCTTGTTATGTTCACTGTAAATTTCTTCAATTAGAAATGTTACAACAAATTTGTCTGATGTTAATGAAAAGCATACTTATACACATATTCATAAAGTGAACATGTACCAAAGATATCTTTAAAGGGTGTTCTTTGACATCGTAATTTGGGTTTGTAACATAAAGAAAACAAAGTGTTTAATCAACTGGGTAAACTTTAGGGACTTTTAAAGTATGATGACTGATAATGATGTATGATCTTTTCTAAGAAAAAAATGGATTTTTAATAGGCATAAACATTTAAATTTCTACTTGGATTCCAAGCCAATCTGATTCTCCAACGGGCACAAAAAGATGTCAAACTTTTGGCTTGAAATAAAATATACTGGTTTGTATCTTTATGTAGTTTCTAAGTATCCTAGAGCAGACGTACTTAAGCTTGGGGTCCATCACAGACTACTTAGATCCATAGAATGATTTCAGAGGGTCTCTGAACACCCTGAAATTGTATGCAAAATTTGTGAATGTGCTTATGGAGACAGGAATTAGACTTTTTGTCAGATTCTCGAAGGGGCTTAGACATTTTCCGGTTATACATTTCACCCAGCTTTATCCAAAGCTCACTTCATAATTACACATGGAGATGTTAAGCTAACCTCCTTGCTGCCTTCTCGCTGGTTATTAGATTGAACTACATGGAATTGCTGTATATGCCAGGAAAAAGGGTCAAATATCAGCAAATTCATTCAATAGATGATACTACATTTCTAGTTTTTAAGTACATGACACTCACAGAGAGTCTTTCTTATACTACAAATGGTACACAGTTATTGCACAATGCCTTAAAGTTGGCAAGACCACTTCATCGCCCCCCTAGGTGGAGGTCCCAGCAACATAACTCGGTCAGAAAGGATGTGATCCTCACATGATAGGGCCAGTGTGCACACAGAATAAATGGAGCCATGCTCCTTTAAATCATGTTTAGAGATGGGTCAATAATTGGGAAATAAAATGATTAATAAATGTCAGGAGTTATTAGGACATGAATAATAATGATTCTCTTGTCTCTGAGGCACAAAGAAATAAAGAACTATTCTCAACATTGTTCATTTGCCCAAATCAGTTGTTCACCTCCCACGGAAATGAGGCATGCTCTCCAACTATTCCTCTTTCACTGAAGGGCTAGGGAAGCTAAATAAGGTTAGAAATAGGTGAAAAGATAATTGTATTAAGTGGATTATTAAGGCCTGGAATAGTCGGTGCTCAGTAAATGTTTGAATGTTACTGAGTATGTTAAGATTCCTGATTGAAGGCTACACATTCCTACATTACCTTTTTCAAAGAACTACTCATGTAAACACCAGACACATGAAAAACCCACAGAGGTGTCAAAGACAGATTTTTTGCTACTTACCTCAGCAGAGTTGTGATACTGAATGAAGGTTGCAGAAATGGCATGGCTGAAGGGGTCTCCTGCCTTGGTTACCATGTCCTGCCTCACAAGAAGAGCCAGGTCCACTAACTAGAAGATCAGAGCAATGAAAATAAAGTCACATAACTGGGAATAATCAATCACCAATGTCACCGAAGTGGCAAAACTAAAAGCAATACATTCCAAGTGTTATTGATAATACGGTCTGCTTAAAAATCTGTATTGTGGACGTGAGCATATGCTTTCATTGATAAGTAGACCTACCCATGAATATAAACAATGTATTCTGACTTTTTAGGGGAGCACTTCTCAAATTTTATTTAATAATCATTAGGGAAGTATTTTCAAATACAGATTTCTGTGCTCTGGACACCAAGATTCTAATTTGGTAGGTATGGTCTGGGTTACATTTTCAGCAAGAAGCAAGGAGAAGCTGATGCTTGTGGTCAGAGGACCATGCTTTGAGAAGCTGTCAGAGAGCAGTGATTCTAGACTCAGGTTTTGGCAAGCACTCAGGAGACTGTACATAGCTAGAAAGATATGTTTCAGAGCTCAAAAATAATCTCTAAACAAGGCAGATGTGTACTGAGAATTCAATGTTGAGAAAAAGTATGTAGGGATTCCATTTCTGGTTAGGATTGAGTTGCAAGCAACAGTCACTTTTACACTAACACCTGCCAGGGCTGAGGATACAAAGAAACATAACTGAACTAAATTCCAGAAAATGGTAAGATTGTCATAGGATAAAACTCATGGTTGTTCTCATTCCTGGTAGAGTAGCAGGTGGAGGAACTTTGATCATGGACAGGGATAAGAAGAAAGGGATGCCTGGGTTGGCTCAGTGGTTTAAAGCATCTGCCTTTGGCTCAGGTCATGACCCAGGGTCCTGGGATTGAGTCCCGCCATCGGGGTCCTTGCTTAGCAGGGAGCCTGCTTCTCCCTCTGCCTGCCACTCCCCCTGCTTGTGCTCTCTCTCCCCCTCTCTCTCTGATAAATAAAATCTTAAAAGAAGAAGAAGAAGAAAGCAGTCCTGTATGGCCTGCTATGACAGATATTAGCATTCTTACCTGTGCCACTGTTTCATATGCTAAATACGCTAAAATTTCCATTGCGACAACATTGGGTTTTATCTCCATACTGCTGCAGTCCAACCAGTCTCGAAATTTGGAGGCCTTTTTGGCTGGCCATCAAAAAAACAAATATGGAGAATTTAGTTTTTGAAGTGTTTTAATACTGCATATTACTATCACAAAATGAAAAATATGTCTCTTGAAAATTGCATTTGAAAAATAATGCATATAAAACACCATGCTTTTGAAGTTTCAATTAGTGTCAAGATATTCAAACCCCAAGAAATTCCTTATGCATTTGGGTCTTTGATTTTGTATCTGTGCTACCTAACACGGTATACTAAATGACTTAATATTCAGCATTTCTCACAGTGTCAGAATAAGTTACCACTGGCCATAGCTTATGTTTTAACAAAAGTCAGAGGGGTTGCTTAATGCAACTTTAACCTATTCTTGTGGAAAGAAATTCCTGCAAGAAAGAGCCTGGGATGGAGAAAGAACATACAGAAATTGTATTTGCAGTACATTTCCAAATGTGTCTATTACCAGAATAGGTTCAAAGTCACATATTTAGAATACAATAGAAAAAAACTTAGGCCTGCAGTTATGTTTTTCTGACTACAAAGATGTCCAAATTCCTAAGCCTCCAAAGTGATTTCAATTTCTTTCTGTTACTGCCTGCTGAAATGCCACCTGGCATTGAGTCTAGCCCTCTCTATGTTCACCGCTGCTCCTTTTCCTCCATGGAATGCCATCCCACCTCTCTTCCTCCTTCACATGAATCCCGCCTATACTGTGTAGTTCCCCACACTGGTCATTTACTGAACTCTTGTATCATCAGATATCCTTTCATGTCTGCTTTTAATTTCTCGAACCATATTAGAAACACCATGCATCATGTCTCTCTGCATACCTAACAGTACCAAGCGCACGTGGAACCTTCCGGTTCATATCTCCAAAATGCCACAGTGCTAAGCACAGCCTAACTTGATGTAGAGCCTTTATTAGATATTACTAATCTAACTAGTAATCTACAGGGAGGAGATTGATGGTAAAGATTTTATCATATCTATAACATAATAATCTTGTAAAAAAATCCACTGATTATTCTTTTGGTTAATCTGGTCCCATGGGTCTATTAAAACACTTAACCGTCACTCAAAGCATGATGTTTCTATCCTTATAGATGTGGTCTTCATGGATTCCAAGTACAGAAGAGTTTTTTTTTTTTTTTTTTTTTTCCAATAAATCACAGAAGACTTGAAGTCTTGCTATGGAAGTGCATGTCCAAAGTTGTCAACTGTGGCAGAATTATGATAATCCTCTTAAAGCTATCTCCCTAAAGTAACCAATCTTCCACATACTCTCTGACATGCAACATTCCATCTAACTAGTCAGCTGCATTAGCTCACAAACACTTGTTTAACATCTGTGGAATACTTCTGAAGTCAAAGTTAACAGGCGGCAATTTGGCAAGATCAATAAAATGTACCTTGTTCACTTCTCCCTTTGACAGTTTGTTAAGAACGCAGAAACAAGGTATTTTGTGACTATGCTCTAAACGATTTATTTTAAAAGAGAGGGAAAGGATAGACGGTTCTTAGTGTTCCACAGGATCTGTCCACCTAAGCAACAGAATTGGTAGCTTCCTCCCTAGATGTTAAGTACTGAGAATGCAGGGATGAGGGCCCTGTGTCCACCACTGTATCCCCAGCACCTAGAATACTGCCTGGCATCAGCAGTCTCACAATAAATATTTCCAGAAAAAAAATGAATGAATGGACAAATGAAAGATATTTCTTTAATAAAAGGGTAGGGTCTCTGTTCTCTAGCAGAAAAGGCGCACAGAGGGTCCCATAAAACCGCTGTGAGCTACTGCTATTCCAGCAACAGGTGAACATTCCCTGAGATAATGCCCTGTCACCTGCAGAAGGACTGCTTCAGAGACAGACCTTCCCATGGTATTGCTGGTTCCAGCAAAAGAGGCACAGATACTCCTGGTCATGACAGTTTGTTTCTATTGAGAGGTGGGGGGCATCAGAATGAATGAGTTCCTTCACCTTTACTGCTTTTCTCAATATATCAGGAGAAAGGGTAATTGGGGACATCGATCAACAATTTAAACAGAATCCTTAACACAGGTCAGAAGTTCCCAAGATTATCAGCCTTCTGACACTATCTGGTTTTTTAGCTTGTGCTGGAATTAAAACAACTTTTTATAATAACTTCATATGGGAAATTTAAGGTTAGTGAACCCTCATACGTGTCTTTTTTTCTTTCTCATTATTGACCACTAGTAAAATCTAAGTTTCTCTCAATATCCCATTCTCACCTCCCTGCATACTATCTCACTATTTCTATGTCATCCCTCTCACCAGTCTTTCCATTCCCCATCCTTTCCTTAGGGCCCTCTGTAATGCTCAGTCCACTCTGAAGAAATTCTTCCACAACTTCAGTCTCTTCAAAATTACTGCTATTTGGATTAATTGCAAATAGTCTTTCTCAGAGGGCATGCTTTTCCCTGGAGTCTTTTATAGTAGAGGTTCCTTATTTCTTTCCTTCTGTACATATTTATTGATCAGTCACTGACTGCCAACCTGTTCATTTCCCCATACACCAGAGGGGTCGGGGGGGGGGTCACATCTTCATTCTCTTAGTTTCTCCCACAGGGAAAATACAGGACACAGGACAAGTGGACAGAGACTTCTTACCAACAACAGAGGCTAAAAAAAAAAAAAAAAGGAATCCTGTTTTAACAAATAACTACTAGCCCACAACTTCCTACCCAACTAAACTACCATTTAAGTATGAGGGCAAAATAAAGCATTTTTAAGACAAAAATGAGTGCTTTAAGCACTTACAGAGCCTTGGGAAAAACAAAATTAAGCTGACAAGGCATGTTTACTAATTACCAACTTTAAAAAATTTAAGTCAAGGACGCATTTTAAAAAATTAAGGATAGCAACTACAATAATAGAACTAGAATATACACTATACAAACTGGTTGAGAAAAAATGCAATGAAGAATATCCAATTAATCCAACAAAACAATGAAAAGGAGGAGGAAAAGCAAAAAAAAAAAGGCACAGTATATTTAAAACACAAAGACAGCATATATAAACCCAATGTATAAGTAATTAAACACACACAAATTAAAATTATCAATTAAAATACAAAAAGACTCTCAGACTTGACTAAAAAGAAAATCTATATATTTGTTTACAGAACCCACATACAAAACAAAAGGCTGAAAGAAAAGGCTTGGGAAATGATTTGCCAATTTATAACTAAATTTAATCTTTGTGAATTAATATGAATATCAGATTTTAAAAGACTTTCAGGGAAATGACTATCTAACTTACATAAATATAAAAACAAAAGACTGGTGAATTTGATCCCAATTCTACAACTTACCTTCAGTCTATAAAGTCATAGACTTGTAAATTTTAAAATACACCAGTAGTCCCAATCAGTGAATGCTACGATCCAATATTTAAGAAGATACAAACAGCTGGATCGCAATTCCTATATCCTGGTAATTTATCAGAAGGGGAGAAATGAAAAGAGCCTAACATTCTGACCAGTTGTGGGTATTAGTTCTGAATTTGCGGACCCACTTGGATTAAGCATTCCCAACCACAGCATTTTGGCATATAAAACAGATTCTTCCACTAGGGTTTCATAATGAAGCACCTATGGGCATCATACAAAGAAATATTTTTAAATGCCCAAATTCCTCTTCTTTTAAAAAAAAGTAAGCATAATATACTGTTTATAATTATTTTATATAGAAAGGGAAAGCATTAATTTTTAATTTACTATACTTTATTACTGAGTTATAAACAAAAAACTGAGTTGTTAAAAATGTGATTTTCAAACACAAGATGTATTAGGACCCTTCAGTGGCTATACATTTTAGCGTGAAAACAGCACTTCTGTTCCTTTAAGTGAATTAAATTTAAAATATGATTTTAAAAAATAGTTCAATAGCACTAAATGTTACTTTATAAACTGGAAATTTATACTTATAAAAGACTTGAATGCCATTTTTAAACCTAAAAATTACAATACAAAAACCTCTCATTTGCTGAAATTGCCATGATCTGAAGTGTCATTTACTTAATGCTTCACAGATGTACGATGCCAAATTGTTAGTCAGACTGCAAAGTATATTTAGTTAGGGAAAAAAGCTTCCAAAACATGTTTTCCTATATTTTACTGACATTTACATGGGGCACTATTTGAAATGTGTCATTTATTTGCACTTTATGATCTATAAATGAAGCTCTCATTTTCTGTTTTCAAATCAAATACATTGTTATGGCCACAGAACAGTTTTTCCGTTTAAAGACACCATTGTGTCTATAATCCCTCAGACCAGGGTCATGTGCTTCTCTGTCAGATTTTTAACTGGACTTTTCATCACACTTACTCTTTGACCTTTCCCCTGAGAGGCTTAGTCATCATTGAACTGTTGCGGTAAGGATGTTTGCTACACAATTGAGCCCACTATTTATCACGAGCCTTTATGTACTTTTAGTAAGCCTGTGTGCAATGATGGGACGGTACTAATTTTATCACTAGGTTATTAGTGTTACAAGAGCACAGACTGATGAATTTGGCTAACACTGAATGCTTGTCACAGTAAGAGGTTACAGACAAAAATGGAAGAGACTATTGATACATTTCCTTGTGGTAATATGAGTAGGCATAAATAAATGGAAAGCTTGGTATTTATTAATATTGGGGGCTTTTAAATGTCATGACTGTGCTACTAGAGTCCATTATGGGGTCAAGTACAATCAGCAATACTAGTGTTAGTAGGACGAAGAAACTGGAAAATAAAATGAGAATGTTAAAGAAAATGGAATTTTTCAGACTAAAAGTAATGTGAATAATTAACATGGTTCTCTGTGTCTTACTAGCACCCTTTAAAACCTCTTTGGACTATTAATTACAAAACGGTAGAGTGGGGTAAAATCTTTTATAGAGTCCCCTACAATGCAGGGGCTGTTTCTAAGTTATAACTATGCATACGTTAAATTCACCCATTTCTAAGGAATGGAGATTGTGTCATACTTTCGTTTATCTGTAACACATGATCTCTTAAACATATAATGAAGCAAAATTAAACATTTACTTACAGAAACTTAATTGTCGACTTTCACAGAATTCTGCATATTGGGCTGAATCCATAATTCGAGTTTGTCTTTCTGCTCTCTGACAGATAAAAAGACACAAACAATGTTTCAGAGCAAGTAGACCATTATCTATGTCTTCCTGGCTAAATTGCAGAATTGAAATTCCATTTTCCTTTCCTGACTTTAAGTAAACAGTTTCATACCACCATAAATATCATGAAACTTGAAATTATGATAAGTTAACAGTAGTTTTGCAACTTGTGTCTTTTGGAAGCGAAGTTTAAAATGCCATTTTCTCCTCCTCTGTTACTGTCACTATATTGAAAAAGCTAAAGGATCTTACTTCTTAGATTGTGTACTAAATTTTCTTAATTGTACCATCCTTTCGAAGAAAAGCTGTGAGGGGGTAATAAATCAAACAGAAAAAACTGCTAATCGTTATTGCCCATGTACTGCCTTAAAGCTGGGGATTTTCAATGTTAAAATCTGAGTCAATGAATGGACCCCATATATTTTCCCTCAGTTAGAACATGGAGCCAGAGCTAACAAATCCATATTTTAAATTGCAAAGAAAACAAAGAAAAAGGTAAACACAACACAAAACCTTTCATCTGAGTCCAGGTATGATTCACAGTTTGGTATAGTTTCATTCGTGGGTTTCTGATTCAGTATAGCAGATGTTTGCTGCTTCATTGTCCCACAAGAGGTAGGATAATTATAATTCACCCATAGTTCGGTGGGAAAGAATATGACCGCTTCCGCTTCCTTGGCAAGGGAAGCATTTTGAAATGAGACAGGATGGTACTTCTTGGAATGAGATTCTGGCCAGTAAAGGAAAAAATTCCCTGAGATGTTAATTTTTTTTCTGCTTTGAAGGACTTTCGGTAAGTTTTCTTTATCACAGTTGGAGTACATAAGTACCACTAACGTCTGGATGTTTTTATATTTTTTTTAAACTGAAATTATTCTTTCTTCATTTTGTTTGATTTGGGTAGTAGTCAACTTAATTCTGAGGATATATCTGTTGATGGGATGAATAATGGTACACTAACTGCTGCTCAATACAGGAAAGATAGATGGGGTGGTGGGAGTTAGACTAACTCCTGTGGTTCCTTCTAAGACCACTAACTATTTTTACCCTTGCTTCTTCTCTTCTTCTACTCCATCCCTCCCTTCTTTCCTTCCTAATCTCCCCCTCACCCCATACATACAAACATGCATATGTGCAGACATAAACCCAGACTTCTTCATTTACCCTCTAGGTTCAAGTATCCTTTTTGAACGTGTATTACATATGTACATTACATAATAGACACACATACACACACAGACACACATATATACATGTGCATAAGGATCCTCTTGTGCATAGATCTGAAACATTAGGTTTCCTTAAGGGTATATTATTGGGTGAATTTTTATATACTTAGAAGTATTTTTTTAAAAAGATTTATTTATTTATTTTAGGGGGGAGGGGCAGAGGGAGAGGGAGAGAGAATCCCAAGCAGACTCCCCGCTGAGCATGGAGCCTGACGTGGGGCTCAATCTCAGAACCCTGAGATCATGACCTGAGCCGAAACCAAGAGTCAGATGCTTAACTGACTGCACCACCCAGGCGTCCCTACTTGGAAGTATTTTTTGATACGTGAATACATTATTTAGTCTTGTCCTTCTTTTTAGTGTATCTGATACATGACTCAATAAGTATATGCTAATGGACAGTAGGAAGTAAGGGAGAATTCTGAACATAACAAATCAGTTACTGATGTGTTTATTAAAAAAAAGTTCTAAGGCTAACAATGTATCATTAATGTCTGTCTTTGACTATATCAGGAATCTCTCAGATTTATTTTCTAGCTCCTAGAGAATTTCTGATACATGGTAAATGAACAATGAAACCTCCGTGGATTGAACAAATGGTACCATTTTAGTCTACAATCATGGCAAATGACCATCATCACCATGATGTGCCTAGTCCTTGATTATCCATGCATTCCGGTAAGTCTTCTCTGTTGCTTTCCAGCCAGGCAGCCTCACCCCACCCAACACATGCGAAACAGAAAGGACTTAGATAAATACGGAAAACGAAAATTCCTAATGGGATTCTTAACACTAACTTTTCTTCCACCATGTTGGACAATTGAGATTTGGTCTCTGTATACATGCTTACATGGTTGATGTATCTGAATAAGTTATTTCTGGAAATGAAAGTTAGGAAAACCTATCCTAGGAGATTCAGGCTGCCAGGGTTGCCAGTTTTAATCAAGCGAGGCGTTTAGCTAGATGGGAAATCCTGAACCACATTTAAAAGACACGGAAGGCCTTTCAATTACTATAGCTAGCTTCATTCCTTTCAGACACCCAATTCAGTGTCTATCATCTTTCCTTCATCAGGCATCGTAGTTTGGTTTCAATTCCTCTAGCATCGAAGCAGTGGAGTCTCATGAAGCTGGCCCTAGGGCCCATGCAGGAAGCCACTGACCAAGTGTCCATACAGCAAACGCTCCGGGAAGAGCAGCCGACGTAACAGCAAAGATGCACAAGCATCTATAAAACCACGGCATGTTGGGCCACCCAGGTGGCTCCGTCAGTTGAGCATCTGGCTCTCAGGGTTGTGAGATCAAGCCCCGTGTCGGGCTCTGTGCTGAGTGCAGAGCCTGCTTAAGATTCTCTCTCTCTCCCTCTGTCCCTCCCCCTGCGTGTGCATGTGCATGCTCTCTCTAAAAAAATAAAAAATAATAAAAATAAAAACCACGGCCTATCAGAACTAGAGGGTGACTTAAAGGTCATCTTGTTCAAACCCCCTCATTTTAAAGATAAGGAAATTGAGGTTCAGAGAGAAGTGATTTGCCAAAGGTGATCAAGTTAGCACTGAAGGCCAGGACTCTCAATTCCCAAGCCAGCCTATTTTCATTATGAGAAGCTGTCTTCGACCTACAGTAGTGTTTTATATTTTTGTTTGGAATCCTCTAAAGTCTCTACATTCCCTTACTAAACCGTATCACGTGGCCACCATAATTGATGTGCTCAAAGTGTTCATGACCAAACAAAATTAAGTAAGGCCCCGGGTCAGCAAAGAAGGCACAACCTGGGGATAATTAAGTGCAGAGGGTTCCAACTGTAATGTACCTGACAGTGCACAGGTGTGCTGCCAACACATCACAGGTGCGCAAACATACTGTCCCCCAAACCCCCACCACCTCCACCTCATCCGACCTTCTCAATGCTGCACAAGGTTGGGGCAGCAGAATCCCAGGGCTGGTATCTTGCCCTAAGTTGCTTTGTCCGTTTACCTCAGTGTGGCATAAAAATATCATTTTCTATGTGTGCCATGACATGAGAGAGGTTGGGAAGCAGTTGTACTAATACCAATGTCCTTAATATTACATGACACAGCACATGCGTGCTATTCACAGCATGGTCAAGTGCACTCAAATGGAATCAGAGACACTGACTGGCAGTCAAGGATGCTGAGGATGATACAGATATGCTCATCATGCTAATTTCTGTTTACTTCTCTCTTTTCCCCATGAATTATTTCAAATAACCAAAGTAAAGGGACAAATGTGGCCTTGTGAAAGGATCCAAACTCAGCATCTGATTATATTATCTCCAGTCTGTACACTATCACCTTAAAATGGGAAAGGCAGGAAATATCTAACCGTTACAGGCTATGTGTTCTTTAAAGACAGTAACTATGTTTTCCTTCTGTCATCTCAGCGTTGGCCAATGCTTAGCTTGGTTTACCTGGGCCCCAGTAAACGTTGCTGGCTAGCTGAATGGGCAGAGGGATGGAATGGATGGAGGCAAAAGAAATGCGTATAAATCCTTGTTGTCTGATCTAAAATCAGGAACTGTAATATTTGTAATCAAGTTGTCCAAATTCCAGAGACAGTAGGCAGCTTTTTAAAGACAAAGTCCCATTAAAAAAAAGGCAAGACATTGGCCAACTATCAAATAAGCTTGGTTCCTATTTTCTGTGTTGTCCTGACTCCACTTTCCCTTCTGCCTCGATTCAGACCACCCATTCCAATCCACACTGAAGTGCGCACTGATAGTCCTTTTCTATTCCCAGTACTGTAGGAAATCTCTGGAAAAGATGCAAGGGGGAAAAATCATAAGCCTCGCAGAGCAGCATGGTCAGAGTGACAATGCTTATCTATTCTTTTCAGAGAGCAGCACAATAACCTTTAACATAAACAGTTTTAACAGCTCCATTTTACAGTCGAGGACACTGAGATTTAAAAGACGTAAAAAAATTTTTTTATAAAACATATAGTTAATAAAGCGGCCAAGCTAATAAGTAAAACTTGGGTACTAAATGATCTACTCCGAGGTATATCACTGAATAATCATGGCAGGTTAAATCATAGCTTTTATTCATACTGGATATTCTCAAATTACACAATGTTCTCCTGATCTCAGACTGCCACATGAATGAAAGGTCATCTCTGGATTAGTCATGCTCTTGTATCTGCAAGTCCGATTTGTTTTCTGCTTAATCTGTCGACTCTACCCACTCTTTGGTTTCTTTAGGTATTAACACTGCTCTTGAAAACTGATAAAAATACGGTCCATACTCAGAGGCTTTTTAAAAAATTAAACTGTACTAGTATTACGATACAGCAAAGTATTACCATATAGGGGCATACATAGAAAAATCACTTTTGGAAGAATTATTCCTAAGATTTTCCAAGCACCTAACAATATTTCAAAATTTCATTGGAATGGCTTGTTAAAAAGGTAAGAGAGAATAGTTATGCTAATAGTCATTCATCTCACTACCAAGAAGTTACAGCTTTTTCTGGTTATTGTAAAACGAACTCAGAAGGCAGAATTCCATGCCAGATGAACTCATTTTTTTGGGTCCTACCTAAATGAAAACAGGGAAGGAAATGTCCCGACAGATGCAGTACCTAGTATAATTCGTTTGCTTGTTCAGTACCTTGAACACAAGAGACTCTTAGTATAGATTTGTTAATTTAAATGTTCAGTGCAAAGTTTTCATTTCAATTAACACGAAACTGCTTGTGTCTTGGAAAAATAGTTTCAGTAGTGACAATCACCATTTGCCCCTGT